TTAACCCTGTGTGCCACCACATGGGGAGGTAATAAGGGAGGCCCCTTATTACCTTTATTGTTATATTTGTGTATAAGAGACAATTTTTCCTTATTTCAAAATCCCTCTTACAAAATAGAAAGTTAAAGTAAATATCACTTTTGTTAAAAGTAGGTAACATTTTGAATCATTGTGTTTCACTATTAGTTTATTCATTTCAATTTGTTGTTGCCTGTGTGTGTGTAATTTTATATGATTTTCTCTTGACCCTAGGAATTTATAAAGTGGCATCAGGATGTAGTTAACTGTGACTGCCTTTTCTACAACCTGACCTGGCTAGTAGTGAATCCTCTTAACCTAAAGACTAAAGAGAGCTCTTCAACTCAGGCATTTTTACCTCTTAATTCTTTGATACTTGCTTCTTCTTCATCTGATCCATTCTTTCATGAAGCTAGCTTTTCCTTGGAATTAAACACTTCTAACGTAGCCAACTTATCACAGTTTTCCTGGGACTTTGCCAGGTTTAGTGCAAAGCAGAATGGTTGGTTATCTTATACTTTCCTAAGTCATTGTGTCCTCAAGGTCAGTCATTTTCAGATTATTTATAGTGACAGAGACTTTTTTATTATAATTTCTAATCTATTGTGGACTGATGTTTTTGAAAATACAACAAAAATGAAATAAAAAAGACAAAGTCTAATTTAAAAAAATTTCCAGTTCTAAGATCAATCACTCTGACAAATTGTTTCAAAAACTTTAAAAGTTTTCTCTCAGTTTTTGTAGGTACTTTATAAGATCTGGGGTCACCTTGTGGACCACACTTGGAGTAGACCTCTAGGATTTCTCTAATCTGCTCTAGTAATCCCTTCCATCTCCTCCACTCTAATTTCTGTTCTCTCCAGCCTGGGCTAAATGCCTCTTTTGTGTCAAATACTCCATTACATTAAATTGCTTGCTTCTTAAGGGATAGGAAAGGTCTTATTTATCCTTCTATACCCATTGTCTTCCAAGCTGCCAGACAAGGAGTTTATTAGGTTATTGTATTCACTGAGTTTTTATCAAGACTGGCAGAAACTTACAGTTTTTGTTTTGACTCTTTCCAGGAGGAAGGGAATGTGGGAGCTTTCTTTTATTTTTTTTATACATTATTTATTTATTTGATACTTTATTTCCTCATTTTTTTCCTAACATGTTCTACTTTTTAGTTGGAAATTTTAGCATTATTTTAACAAATGATATGCAGCAGGTGATATAGACTTTGTGACTATGGTTAGTAAAAAGTTTCCTTTCACAGTGTAGTTGAATTGTATACTTGAGGCCAATTTGTGTAAGAAAAGTAAAGCTATGCTAAATAAACTCTGTCTTCATTGAGGAATGAGACTGTAATCTCATCCTGTGTGAATTGGGAAATCATCAAGAAATTAAAATAACTAATTTCAGAATACAATCAAGGAAAGTTTGTACAAATTTCCCCCTAAAAATAGAGGACAAAAAATGTTTCTTTTTCACACTGGGACTCTTTTCAAGTGGCCTGGGAAGTTGTGAAGTTCAATAACCACCTCATTTGCATTATTCAGAAGCTGGAATAACTGGATGTAATCATGTAAACTCCAGTGATGGGGCCCTGACTTCCCTAACTAGACAATAGTGCTGTTTTAACTGGCAGTTAATCACAGTTCAAAAGTGACTTATCGGTAAAGTACAACATGACTAATTTAGCAGCTAAGCAGTTTCATTGTGATCTTGGTGTCAGTGGAATTCCTGTCACCTATCCAACAGTTAAGTCATATTGCATAATTGGTGGGTGACATCACCATGCTACAAGATTATTGGCTAAAGAAAAAAAAAAGTTTCCGGGACTGTCAGCCTTTCCTGTGTCTGAGTACTGTTAGACCAATCCAGTTGGAAAGCAAAGTGAAAATGCTATTTGAAGCAACTGGCTTTGGTGTATCATTGAAAAACACTGTCCTTAGCACTTGGGGTGATTCTCTAGCATGTCTAATTATGAGGTCTCTTCCCCTTATGTGGGACTCCACAATGCCAGTCATTAAGGTATGGAGAGAGAGCTGAGACAATGGCATGCTCTTCTAACGAGGACATTTAATTTTTCTTCTTTTTGGAGGGAATAGAATAGCTATACACATAGACACTGAAATTGCTGGGGCTTTCACAGGGTCAGCTGGAAGCCAGTTGAAAATCTTTTATGGTTAAAAGCCTGGCTTATTTCCAAGGGAACTGGTCGTTCAAGTTAATCACTACAAAATACATAAACTTTAAGTTTATTTAATGGTATAAAACATTAAGCTTTAAAATTACCCACAGAAATACATAAAAACTAGAGCTATGGCTGATTAGAAATTATGATAATTTGGCTAACATTGTTTCCTATGCAACACTACCCTAAGTACCTTTACATATATGAGTGTATTTTATCCACGAAGTAGATACTATTTTTACTCACAATTTAGAGATGAGGGAATGAGGATTTTATTTAATTCTACAAAGTAAATACCATTTTTACCCACAATTTAGAAATCAGAGAACAATAATCTGAACCCAGGTAGATTGGTACTAGAGAATGCAGTCTTACCTGTCTCCTTCCACTGCATCAATAACTACTACCACTATTTCCATCTATTGAATGCTTTTTATGTAACAGGCACTGTACTGTAATAATCACATTCTTTCATCATCTCAGTTAGATAGAAAATGTGTTATTATGCCCACTTGAGATATTGGAAAATGATGCAGAGAGAAAATAAGTCACACAAAGCACAGATAATGAAATAAAGATTCAAACCAGAATAATATAGGTCCACTCTGCATACTTTTATCCATATGCTACAGTGCTTTCACAGTTACTACTTATTGAGTACCTACTGATGTATAATGCACACAATAACTGTATATAGAAGGTAATTATTACCTTCAATTATGGATGAAGAAACTGAGGCTCCAAGAGAACAGGTAACTTTCCAACTCCTAAATAGTAGAGCAAACAAGATTTCTTCCAAGTTTGTTGAACTCCCCAATACGTCACTACTTCTCAAAAACACAAAATTGGTGCAGGTGACAGAATGTTATGTCAGGAAAAGGGCTGACTTCTCAGGAATCACTAATGTGAGGAGCATCTCAGTCTGGGCATCTACAAAGGGTGGGATAAGGAAGAGATGTCAGAAAGGTCTTGGGAGGCAGCAATGATCTCTTTAAGAGATACCTTTCCTTGAGGGCACCCTCTTCAGATTCTGGTTGATATCCTGAATGTGATCAAACTCCCCTTTCTTCCTGAAATTCTCTTTCTGTTTTCATTCGTCTCCTGAAATTCCCCAAACTGCACTTCTCTGCCCTCCTTCTTTCGACAGTCTTGCACATGCTCAGTTCTCCTGTTTTGTATGGGTTTCCTCCCTACCCCCAGGCCTCCTTTCATTTTGTAGTGCATATTCAGTTCTCTGGAATGTGACCACCCATAGGCATGACACAAATTTTGAAAGGGCTTTAGACATGAATGTGATTAGTGAACTTAATTTTGTTAAAGGAGAAGCATATCAGCACTGCAAATGTGTAACCTTTTAATGTTATAATCTTCTTGTCCTGCCTTCAAGAGTATGATAATTTATAAAATATAAAATCACAACAAAAGCAAAAAAAACAGCTAAAAAAAAACACTAACAAAAGATAGGAAAATGTTTGAATGTTACAAGGTATTTACCTTAAAGTTTTTAAAAATAAAGAGCCATTCTTGTGAGTTTAAATATTATTTTATTAAAAGAAATCAAATGTATCTATTTATTCATTTCAGAAGCATTGATTTTAAGGAAACGGAGAATAAAAATATGTAAAATGCATCTTGCATTACCTAAATACTTAAAAAACAAAGTCAAATGCCATACAAGTGAAACAAGTTGTAAGATAGGGTTGTCCATTAAGGAACTGAACTTTCTGGAGGAAATGATCAGACACACTTCTTGAAGAAGCAAGGACTTGGCTGGAACTAGAAATGGTAGAATTAAAATAGGTTTATATTAGAGGCTAACAAGACAAGGATGTCCACTCTCATGACCGCTTTTCAATATAATACTGGAAGTTCTAGCCAGAGCAAAATTGATGGTGTAGCATATTTGATATAGATCATTTAAGCAATTATGGTTTTCTTTCAGACTACTTGCTCTGGTCGAAGCCAGTTGCAATGACATGAGGTCTCTGGAGGGACCTATAGGGAGGCCTATATGGTGAGCGAATAAGACCCTATGTCAACAACTGAAGGGGAACTGAGTCTTTGTCAACAGTTACAGAGTAAGTTATCTTGGAAGTAGATTCAGTGGCTCCAGTCAAATCTTTAGATGACTCACATCTTGATTTGGACTTTAGTTCCTAAGTTAGGACTCACCCATTCATGCTGCTGTGAATTCCTCTTTAACCTCAGAAAGTGTATAAGATAATAAATTTTTGTTTTATAAGCTGATAATTAGTACTATCAATAATATGCTTACCATTTTATTTATTCTTGTGCCAAATTGCTAGAATGAATATATCTTAGACTTTACCATTTAGGACCTAAAAGTACTAAGAAAAGAACAGCAGCAACAACAAAAAGCAACAGCAACAGATACATAAGCATCTATTCACAATATAGTACAACATATGCTACAAGGAAAATCTTTACCAAATGTCTCTAGAGGCATTATTTGGAGAGAAAGGGAGTCCTTAAAAGCTTTACAGACAGAATGTGAAGATTAATCTCCAAAAAATGTTGAAAGGGGCTCTCCTATATAAATTATTATTATTTTTTAAAGATTTATTTATTTATGCTAGAACCAGGGCACAGGCCAGATGCGCAGAAGGGTGAGAGATTTCACCAGAGCCAGAGCGGGGAACAGAACAGGCAGACTGACCGAAATACACTGCCTTGGGGAGCAGCGGAGGAGACAGGAGAGGTCTGCTGTGCCATGTGGGTTGCTCCGCTGCCTGTGGGCATCGAACCGGTGCTGCAGAAGCTGCGGACAGATTCACAGCACTGTGCTCAACTGCCTGCGCCACCAGGGAGGCCCGTCTCCTATATAAATTAAAGAGAAAAAAATGAGCATCATTAAAAAAAATAATAATCTGAACAAGAAATTAGAACCAGAAAATTAAAAACAAAATGCAATAACAAATCATCATATGTCAAAAATCAGTAAATGGACTGAATTCATCAAAGGCACAAAGAGGCTGGTTGTATGCAAAAACAAAATTCTGCTTTCTGTTGTCACCAGGAAACTCATCTGATCTCCAAATATAAACACAGACTCAAAACTGTTGCAATGTTGGAGAACAATCCTACAAAAAAATAGGATGAAAAAAACTGAAGGGTAAGGACAGTCATACTTATGTTAAATAAAATAGACCTCCAGCTTTAAAAAATGTAAAGAGACAGATATGTTTACTACATAATGATCAAGGGATCAATATATCAGGAGTTCATGACTATCATCATAGACACCAAGTGAAGGGCCATCAAAATACTTAAAACAACTATTATTAAACTAGAATCATACATTTGAAGCAACCAAATAGCAATAGGAAACTTTAACATTCCACTTTCATCGATAGGTAATCAATGCAAATAACTTCATTTTTTAAATGTTTTTCCCTTCTTTTCTTTACCCTAACTCACAAATAATAACTTTAACTTGGGGATTAGACTACATTGGTTCACTAGGCATTTATAGGATAATACATCTACCCCCAAACAAACAGACAAGTACACATTCTTATCAAGTGCATACAGAACATTCTCCAGGAGAGGCCACATGTTGGGTCACAAAACTAGTGTCAATATTTTTGAAGTTAGAAATCTACCAAGTATCTTCTCCAATCACAATAGAATAAAATTAGAAATCAACTATGAAAAGAAAGCAGGAAAACTCTCCAATACATGGAGATTGAACAACACTCTACTGAACAACCATTAGATAAATGATGAAATCGAAGAAATTTAAAAATACCTGTAGACAAAAATGAAGACACAGAACCTATGGGATATAAGAAAAACAGTACAAGAGGAAGTATTTAGCAATACATATCCAAGTCAAAAAACAAAAAATAGTTCAAATAAAAAACTTTACCACTTTCCTTTAGTTACTAGGGAAAAAAAGAGCAAACAAAATCAAAAGTCACTAGATGGAAGGCAATGATAGAAATTAGACTAGAAATAAAGACAGTACAAATGATTAATGAAACCAAAGTTTCTTCTTTGAAAAAAACATTAATTTAGAGAAGCATCTAGCAAGACTTACCAAGAAAAAAATGGAGGAAAAACTAATAAATGGAATCAGAAAAAAAGAGAAGTTACAATAGATACTTCAGAATATAGAGGATCATAATAGATTAGTATGAATGTCTTTTTGCCAATTTTTAGAAAGCTGCTACCCTATAAAAGTGAATTAGGAAGCAATAGAAAACCTAAACAGACCAATCACAAGAAAGGAAATTGAAACAGTAATCCAAAGAGTCTCCAAAATCTTCAAAGATGAACCAATCCTTCTTAAAGCTTTTTAAAAAACTTGAGAAAGAGGGACTATGTCCAAACACATTCTACACAACCAACATTACTCTGATTTTAAAACCTAAGAAAGATATCACAAACAGACAATCACAGACCAATATCCTTGATGAATATATATGCAAAAAATCCTCAATAAAAACAAACTCAACAGTACCGATAAAAGGATCACACATAGTGACCAGGTGTAATTTATTTCAGCCACACAAGGATGTTCCAACATCCAAAACCAAATCCATATAATTCACCATGAACAAAAGAAAGAAGAAAAATCATATGATCATATTTAATAGATGCAGAAAAAGCATTTGTTAGGTGTTAACATCCACTTATGATAAAAACATCAAAAACTGGGGACTGATGGGACATATCTCAATATTATAAAGGTGATAGATGACAAACCCAGTCAAATTCATACTAAAGGGTGAAAAACTGAGAGCTTTTTATATAAGATTTGGCACAAAACAAGGATGTCAACTCATCACTACTATTTTACATAGCATTAGAAATCCAAGTTAGAGCAATTAGGCAAGAGAAAGATGTGGAAAGAATCTACTGGGAAAGAAGTAGAACTACCACTATGTGTAGACGACGTAATAATATGGCTAGAAAACACTCCAGATCCACTAAAAAAATAATTAAAATAATAAATCAATAAAGTAAGGTGGCAAGGTACCAAATCAATTTACAAAAATCAGTTGCATTTATATGCTAACAATGCACTAGAAGAGAAAGAAATAAAAAAAATCTCATTCACATTTGCACACAAAAATAAATTTCTTGGAATGAACTCAAAAAGGAGGTGAAGAACCTATACAAAGAAAACTATAAGACATTGCTGAAAACAATAGAAGAAGACACACAAAAAATGGAAAGATAATTCTTGCTCGTGGGTTGTAAGATTAACATTGATAAATGCCTATCTTTCCCAGAGCAATATACAGATTCAACACAATCCAAGTCTGCTCCAATGGCATTCTTCAATGAAATTGAATAAACACTGAAATTCATATGGAACCAAAAAAGACTCTGAACAGACAAAATACTCACTGAACAGACAAGTACTCCATGACAGTGACTTCTGTGCAGTCTATGTGGAGTCATCTCTAATGGCAAGAGAAACAAAAGTAAATATATACAAGTGTATCTACATCAAACTAAAAAGCCTCTGTACAATGAAAGAAACTATTAGTAAAACAAAAAAGACATCCTACTGAACGGAAGAAAGTTTTTGCACCTCATACATCTGAAAAAAGGGTTGATATTCAATATATATAAAGAACTCATGCAACTCAACAAGTAATTCAATCAAAAACTGAACAGAAGAATGAAATAGACAATTGAACACATAAGACATAGAGATGGCCAACAAGAAAAATGTTCATCATCAGGGAAATGCAAATCAAAGTCACAGTGGATACCATCTCACACTACTATGAGAATGACCCACATCAGAAAGATTGAGAACAAGTGTTTGTGAGGACGTGGGGAAAAGGAAGGCTTATACATTGCTTTTGGGAGTTAGATTGGTCCAGTCCCTATGGAAGAGAGTATAAAGGTTTCTTAAAATATTAAAAGTAGATCTACTATATGACACAGTAATCCCCTTGTAGGCGTCTACCCAAAGAATGCCAGATCACTGATTCAAAGGGACATGTGTACAACTCCTATGTTCACTGCAGCACTATTTACAATAGCCAAGTTATGGAAGTAACATAAGTGCCCAAGCACAGAGGTATTAATGAGAAAAATGTGGCATACACACACACACACACACATACATTCACACAATGGAATAGTGCTCAGTTATGTAATAAAAGATGAACTCTGTTCATTTGAGAAAACATGGATGGAACTGGAGAGCGTTATGCTAAACAAAATAAGTGAGAAGGAGAGCAAATATCACATGGTTTCCTGTGAAATATAATGAAACAAAACAAAAGGTAAGACAAAAACCAAACCAATAATAAATCCTAAAAATATGACTGTAGAATTGAGGTTACAAGACAGGGAGAAGAAGGGCACGGAAATCAATTGGGGCAATGGATTATGGAGGACAACTGTGGGGCCTCCATGGTGAGTGTGATATGGTGATATGCATCTGAGGAGATGTCATTCTTTGCTTTTAAATAACATACAGTGTTGTAAACCAGTATTGCCTCGATTAAGAAAGTATTGAGGAAGAAAGAAAATTAAAATAAGGAAAAGTAATTCTTTTCAGCGGTTATAGACTAGTCAGCTTTTGATGTGATTACATCAATCATGTTTTTATTGATCCTTTAATGAAGGTATATATTTTTATAATTTTTTTTCTTTATTTAAAAAGATTTATTTATTTATGCATACAGGAACTGGGGTACAGGCCAGAGGTGTGTGTGTGGGAGGTGGTGAGAGGATTCACTAGAGGCAGAATGGGGAACAGAAGAGGCAGACTGACTGAAATACACTGCTGAGAGGAACAGCGGGAGAGACAGGAGAGGTCTGCCGTGCCATGTGGGTAGCTCCTTGGCTGGCCAGGGATTAAACTCGTGCTGCAGAGGCTGCAGATAGCATCACAGTGCTGTGCTCAACACCCTGTGCCCACCAGGGAGGCCCTATAGTAATATTTTTTCATTTTGAAATGAATTCAGGTTTACCAAAATGTGAATCTGGTAGACAAAATTCAATACACTTTTCACCCAGCTTCTTTATGAAAACTGTAGTACCACTAAAAAAAAAAAAAAAAAAAAAAAATCAAGACATGAACATTAATATAACATTTTGAAATAATCTACTTATCTTATTCAAATTTTACCAGTTGTATGATTATTGTATTTTTTTTTTCTGGTCCAAGATCACATATTTATTTTGTTAGTAGCTTTTCAGTCTCCTTTAATCTGAAATAATTTCTCAGCACCCTTCCTTGTCTTTCATGGCCTTGATACTATTGCAGTGTAGTAGTGAATTATTTTGTGAATGTTCATCAGTTTGGGATTAGCTTATCTGATGTTTCAATTGATTATATTTAGGTTATGAATATTTAAATAGAAGTATTTAAGTAAGCAAGCACCAGAAGAATGGTATTCTTGGGCAAGAATACAACATAAATGATTTCGTGTCCTTAGTGAATTATATTGGAAGCCACATGATATGTTTCATTATTGGTGATGTTAATTTTGCAACTTGCTACATTTTCACCTATAAAGTTTTATGATTCATTTTTGTGAGAAGACAGTTTGAAACTATCTTTGAAACTATGTACTCTTTTTATAATTTCAATCGTTTGCTCAGTAAACCGAGTATCTTTTTTATTTAAATATTTTATTTTATATAATTCTTACATCTTTTTTCATCTTTGCACAATGTATGCATTTTCATTTTGGTTATATTCCCCTTACAATTGCACCCCCCCTTATTTTGACTCTAGTCCGTCTTCCCTCTCCCCCCTGTAGTGTGTCTCTGGTTTATAGTTGCTTGTTGATTTTGATTTTTACTTTGTATTGATTAGTCTTTTCCCTGGTCTCTTATTTAGG